TTAGTATCATGGAGAATTTAGTATTAGATCATCTGCTCCTTCAATTGATTTTTTTTTCTTTATCCTTGTCACTTGTCTGCTTGAGACTATTGAGACTGTTGGGAGAAATTTTGTCTTGGTCACTCGTGGGAGTTAAAGGGTTAAGTATTTGGCTGTTTCTGTTTTTATCTCATTTGAAATAAAGTTATCTTGAGTTCACTTCAATTTTTTTTCTGTGAATGTGACAACACTAAAATAACCACACAATATTCCACCCTACTTTTCTTATCTCAAGACACTATCCATTTTTTAAGAAGCAGGGGGATGCTCCTGGGAGTTTTGTGGGCGAGGGCATGCAAAAATAATTGGGCCTCAAAGCATCCGAAGGTCAGCCAAAAAAGAGGCTCTGAATGGGAGGTCACCCTTTAAAAATCACTAACGTGTACTTAGAATGGCATAAAAATTAAGGCCAAATTTCCTATTCCATTACTCCCTAAATAGAATTCCTGACTTGCTGAAATTTAAAATTTTCCTCAACGAGCATGCCCACGAACTCCCCTCATTACCCCCCTAGTTTGTTATTTAAAATACAATCAAATGTTATAATGTTATTTTAAATACAATCCACTCACGTTATCATAATGCTCATTCATAAAAAAATACCAGTATCACATTACAATATTATGAATAACAAATTTTTTCCTCCTTTGGTTGTGGTCACCAGCAAAAACAAGTACAATGAAAATTTTATATTACCATTACAGGAATGAGTTGGCTTTATGAGCCCTTTAATTATGTTTTCAGTATACTTTCATGGGTTCTTAACTGGATGATCGACACCTTTTTGTGATAATTTTGAAGAGGGATAGAAGAGTGAAACAAGTTTGCCAACATTTCTAACTCTGTGGATACTTGTGGGGTTTGCTACCTCTTTGGTTGGGGATATTTTAATGATCAAAGTGCAAACAAAACGCAAAAAAAGCCCGAAAACTTGAAATTTGATATTTCATATACTTAAGATTTGCACACGAGACAACGGGTGTTACGAAAGCGAAGACCCTTGAAAACGAAGACCTAAGACCTAAGACCTAAGACCCAGTCTTCGTATTCGTAGTACGACAACGAAGATCCTGTAAACAGAAAACCGTAGAAATTACAAGTTAAACGCACATTAAATAGTACCAACGCCTAGTAATATTTAACAATTATTCCACATGCCCGCGTTGGATATGAG